TCGTCTATGTGTCATCCCAGCTAAAAAATCCACACGTCGACGCGGCGGCTGTGTCATTGAAAACATTACGGAGATACAATGTCGTGGGTTACGTCATGGTCGCGAAGACGACGGAATCAGTGAACAATTGGATACGCGAACGAACACGAGATCGTGTTACTACTCGCAAAGTGTATCGTGTTCTGTTCCGGTATCGCGTAACGTTCAGCTCTTACACACGGTTGAGGTTAATCGACTTCACAGAGTGCAGAATTTTGTTTTTATTCGACGAATTTTCGTTTATCCGTGTAATCTCGATTATTCGGGTACAACGATTAAGTGTTTTTTTTTTAACGATCGAAATTTATAAAAATATATTGTTTGTTCATTGTAATATGAATCATTGTACTGTCGGCACTTTTGTGCCTTGGATCCTACGCTTATCTTGGACCTGTCGTCAGTGTAAATATTTCAATTGATAACGGCTTGTTGACTGATAATATTGATCTTGATCTGAATGATAAATTTCTTAGGGTGTACGGTTCATTTTAATATCGAACAAAAGAGTGTGTATCAATGTGTGGTAGGAGGTTGTTTAAATATATTGTTACTTTATGATACTAGAATTTTCTTTTTAAGGTGATCGAAAATGTATTATCTTCATAATCTTGGATTACTTCGCTTTGAAGTTCTGTTTTCAACGTAAATATTATTAAGCATTGTTAAAAATAGTGATAAATAGAGATAGTAATCCAGGATTAAAATTCTCGAATTTTAACGACGCACATCGCGCCAGAATGCACGTGTCTCGAAAATCGTTCGTATATTGTGCGCGTATGTGTATCAGCGGGTTAAAATTGGAATGTAGAATGAGATTGCGAAATTTATAATCTAAAACTAGACCTGTGTAGAGCATCCGCTAAAGAAACCACGAAACATACATCTCAAGCACACGTGCACGCACACAGACACACACACTTTCATTGGACTCTGTAAAAGATCACACGTACACGAAAAGTCGTATTGAGTGTTACATACTTGAAGAGACTGCACGAAATCGGCGACGTTAAATGATAAAAACGAGATTGCATACTAATTTTATAAAAGACCCAGGTAAACCTGTACATTTTCCACTTGAAAAAAAAAAAAAAGAAACTAAAACCATACAACCCAGGTATGGTAGTTAACAATCTGGTTTTGAAATACTGTGTTATAAACCAAATTGATTTCGAAGCTATAAAGAAAAGAAAACAGAAATATGGTATTAAATGTCTCTTGAAATCCTGTCCATATTAGAACACGCATTCCATAATCACATATAAAAAAAAAACAACTGTATATTACCAGATTTTTCGAAACAACTTCTACCCGGAGAGTATAAAAACAAGATCTGTCATTGTAACTTAAGCCTTAAAACGAGCCCGCAAATAACGACTGTACTTAAAATCCCTTAGCGTGAAATTCAACGGTAGCCAAGAATGAGATAAGTGGTGAAACATCGAAGACAAGCCAAGTAGCTTGATCTCTTTCGTATGAGGGCGATTTTTTTTTTTGCGTGAGTTCGCACAATAGGTATTGTAGAGTTTATGGTCGGGACCGCTGATTCCGCGATAGTTCTGTGCCCGCGGCACAATACCATGAATCAGGCGCGATACAGACGTATATATGTATAAGATAGGGAAAACCTGTTCGCGGGATGTCGTGGCACACGCGTGTCGTAATAAATCTCCAACTCGCTGCTCGAGAAAAAAATTTCATCGACAGGGGCACAACGGCTCTGCAGCCTCTCCCGAAAACAACTTTTTTTTGTACCGTACAGCGTTCGTTCTTCACGTGTACCTCTTTTTTTTTCATGTCTCTCTCTCTCTGTGGGTGCAACGTAAACAGACGCATGTTCTTGGAACGCGTTTCGAAGGCAGACTGACTTCTGACGATAAAAGAATCGACGGAGCGTATACGCGCGTCTCGAGAGTATCGGGGTGGCACTTGCTCTTCGCTGTTGACTTGTTTTTCTTTCTTGGTTTTTTTGCTCCCGTTTTTTGTTTCTTCTGTTTTTTTTTTGTCTCGTGCTTCTGTTCGTGTCCGCCTCTACAACATCGTCCACGTACACGTACACACATGCGCGATATTTATACCCGTGGTATTTCGTTACGTTTCAACTGTTTTCTGGCCCTTTTCTGCTTATGTAAGTGCGTCTTACTTGAATGAGGGCGTGACGTAGTAAATCACGTTTTATTCACGATTTACCACGGTGCTCCTTGTTAATTATGTAATATGCGTAATGTTCGGTTAATTGTTCGCATTGTACGTATACGTATTGCAACGGGAAGCGATTTTTAAACGAAACTAAGCGTGTCTGAACGTGACATATGGAATATTCTACTTAGGGCTTGTCCTTCGTAGATGGAGCCACCCGAACTGCTATAACTCCCATGATACATCGAAGGAGATATGCAGATAGTTTTCGCGGGGAAATTTTTTACCGTGTGTATAAATCCATGAATATTTTTAAAATGAAATTTGAACGCGCTTCTTACGTATTATAAATTCATAGATATTTAATTAATGGATAATACAAGTAAAAGCTTTTTCGAGGAAATTAAAAATGCTATTGCTGCTGATAGGTTAATGCGTGCAGTTGTATTTCGTCGATCACTTTTATCTCGTGCTGTCATCGTTTTTTATCGCTACTCATTGTGTAATTGTAATGATAATAAAAATCATGCTCTTTTGCATCCCTCTCATCATTTCATTTCATTCTATTCCATTCCATTCCGTCACCTTTCGAAGTCGTCGATTTCGTTTTAGCAATTTATTTTCGAATTACTGAAAACATTATTTGGAGACTGAACTTGAACACCGTCGCCGCTCGTTTTGTTCGCAATGCACGCTCACTACGAAATGCAGAGATAGAACGAATATCTTTATTATGTACATATTTTATGCAAGTTACGCGGTTTCTGTTAAGAATAGCTTTGTTCCTATATGTATATGTATATATTTATACCCCCTGATTTCTTCCTGAAATTTATTGCTCAGCGTCCAGCGCATCTAGAGACGTTAAAATGATCGTAACAGTTCGAAAACGAAAACTGTTAAAAATGATAAAATTGTAACATGTTTTTTTTTTATTCCTATTTGCACCTTGAGGTTGCGAAATTAAGAATTGCGTCGTAAAGAATTATTATGTACCCGTAAGTGAATATAGAAATTAATAGGATAAGAATAGTGATTGCGAATAAGCACTCTAAACAAAAATCAGGTTCCACTGTCAATGTCACTTTAAGGGTATATAAGTCATTCAATATCCGAGAAGTTTAATATAGAGATTGACTTAATTGAACGAGGATGAGAGAGGTGGGAGAACCAATAGATGGAGGGGGGAGCAGAAACCTAGAATACTTGGGTTAAAAATAATCAGCTGTTACTGTGGATGGTCAGAAATTCGGGAGCAAGGTCAATCGATAGCAGCGCAACTTCCTAAACATATGTATAAATATTCCGCCGTTTGTTTAAATATTCCCGCATCGTTCGCGGTTAAGTATTGTTCCTTTTGCCTCTGACATGAAATGTAAATAATTTATCTATCCTCTCTGTGATGTTACAAAAAGTATGTTATATTTATTAGTTTACAAAATTGTTTACTTCTATGAAAAGTTACTATATCGATATTCTTTTCGATTTAATGTTTTACTCTAAAAAAGTGCCCAGTAAAAGAAGACCTTCTTTATTTACACACGATGCTGTTTATTTCTGAATGAAGATATAAGGTTAAAGGAGAGAGAGTCAGTCGAGGTAGTGTAGTACTTTTTTGATTTATAGTGTTTGCAATGAGCTGCAGCAGCAACAGCGCGCACAGGTATTCCTCTGAAAGTTGCATCTCATGCTTCTTCTCACCGACGTCGGTAAACGTGAGAAAAACTCACCTTGGAATTTGTTTGCAAGCAGAAGGTCGGCGTGTAACTGTGCTCGTATAAATTTTTAAAGAGGCACCGAGATATATTTCATGCGGTGTGTGTATATTTAATCTGTATATGAGAATAAAGTTTGAACTTCTCGTGTTGAAAATGCACTGCTAAAAATACATCTTGCTCCGCAAAATTGAACGCGAACTTTTATTCGAACGGAATAAAGTAATGGTGAATCCACAAATGCAATAAAAATTGAACGAAATATAGTGTCTATGCTTTTAAGATTAGAATATTCGTTGCGTTGCTGTTCAATATTATAGTGAAGTATAAAATAACGTTTCCATTGTTGCAACATACCAACGTGTACTTTTCTTTAGCAATAGCTTATTATGTACGCCATTTTATGTAGTCGTAAAACCCGAAGAAGAACATGATTCACTTGCAAATTCCCTAGGCATGAAGGAAGAAGCTACGTTTCTATTGTTGAACCAACGTGGAAGAAGAGGAGAGGGGTTGGGTGGAATCTTTGGAAGAGGAGAATTTTTGCGATTGGCATGTTGGCAGTGTTGTTAGCTGGTTGTGTGGCTATGTTGTGTATACGACCGCTATCGGCACTGCAATTATGACGATCGCAGGTCCGCGGCCATGATGGAAAGGAATATCAACATTTGAAGAATTATCGTCGAGTTACAAAAACGAAGATTTAATTCATTATTTTGTAATAATGGAAACAATTCGAATTTAAATATAACGTAAGAATATTTATCGATAGTCGCAATCTGTTTCATCGACTGAGTTATTACCGATATTTTAGTTACCATTAGATCTAGATATTCCTAAATGCATTATTTTTTAAATTTGACACGTTTTAAATTTAGGAAATTGAAAATTTCACCAATTTTCATAACAATAAATTTATAACTCGCCTAAATTCCTAAACATAATTTGAAGTTCGTCAAATTTATATGGAATAATGATTGTTTTGTCCGGTGATCAGGAGGGTAAAAAAGTAGACGAAAAGACAGCAATCGGTTTCAGTGTGAAATGTGTACACATTTTTAGCACGGTGATTTAGAGTGATTTACATTTGTCCGTTTCCTTCTGTTGCAGATCTGCCTACGTATCCTTCGGGGGATTACTGATGAGGTTACAGGGTGATGCAAACAACCTACACGGTTTCGAGATCGACCAGCATATGTACCTACTCATGAAGAAATTAGCGTTCTAACTGCATGTCACATGCGTCACAATATTAGAATACATTGTGTTAATACATTCTGTTTTTCGAGAGTGTATTCTAATATGAAAGATTCTAATATGAAAATGACTGGTTAAGAAGTTTATAATGATATGCGTTGAACAAAAAAAGTCTATTACTCGTATTTCATTGAAATATCATGTTTTCCATCTGATTGATCATTATTCATATTTTCCAGACTCTCGTAAATCCTGAATTAAAGCATTGTCACTGCCATTACAATTCTCAGATATATGATGATTAATAAAAGTATTTTTCCACGTTAAAGAGATACACCCTACACCTATAAAATCCCTTCTTATTCAGTTTTTTATATTAAAAAATATACAAATTACAAAAACTGTAAAACTCTCACAAGCAAAGCGATTGACCAACCGTTGATTGGATTCTTAGAACACAGATAAAAATGCCCCCCAGGTACTGACGAGGTTCTAGATATACAGCGGTGTAATGGGCCAGCTAATTTGGTACAAATTCAAGTAAACCGTTTCCGCGCCTCGTTACGAATGATTGTAATAATTGCATCTGGCTCTGTTCTTATAATTGGATTGGGAGACTATTTCTTATTCCATTAATTTCAAGCTCTTTTTTCTCTCCATACAATAAAAATAAATCCCACTTGAATTCTCTCTTTTCTATATGAAAACAAGACGATCAGTATTACAATCAGTATTTGTTCTGCTACGATACTACGAATCGCGAGACGCCATTTTGGAGAACAAGAGAGCCAAGACTAAATACGTGATCCAATTGGAGCACGCGCAGTTTCAGTGAGTGCGAGCGCGAGGTAGGTAAAGAATGTGCGACAGAGACGCGTTGCAGAAGAGGGGAATAGCCAAGAGCTAATTTATGTAATTAAACTCGCGGTATTCCTGACCTTGTACGGCTGAATGCTAGCTGGCCGAGGCTGGCTTGAACAATGTGGCATAAGTGCACTTGGCGTGGGTCGTCTCAAACTTAAACATGGCGGCTTAATGTTGCATAACACATCGCGTTACAAAATGGCTGCCACTTAATAAGGGTCTGATCCTAAATAGATTGGCCCAATGACATATAATTCGCTTTTATCTAGCCGCCCGTATACGAAGTTGCGCAACGTACGCCAAGCCAGAGACCGACGGAGACGAAAATCGATAAGTCGTAGACGAGTGTCGCCATCGCTGCGACGATGCTCCTCGCAGTCGGTAACTTGGTCAAGTTTTCCACCAAATTTCGAAGAAATATGAGGTTTCAAAATTGAAAAGAATTCAGTTTCGTGGAATAAAAGTTTTATTTTATTTTTGCTGGTGATACAAATGTATAAATTAACGTAATCGATAATTATGTACAATTACTACTGCAAGGAAAGGTGTATGGAGTATTATATAAAGTTTAGTAGAATATAATAAATATTTTTGTACATCATCTTTGCAGATGATTTTATTTTTCTTTTTAGTAAGTGTTGAGTTTCGTTGTAATGATAACCCTCAAACATTGATCAAACGCGGTACAGACAGCTAATCCTTGCTTATCCGGACTCCAATCCAAGGAGCTAACTGGTTGCGACGAAACAGTACTGTTTTGTAGAAGTGTTAGGTTACCGACAACTCCTTGCTCTATGCCTTCTGCATCAGCTATTTTTCTTTTCTCCGGATAATTACTACAATGAAAATGATAAATGGCAAAGATGACTAATATTATAAAAATTGTTGATAAAAAAGAAAAAGTTCGTATTTACTATTTCCATAAGCAAAGGCTTCCTGTTCCACCACAAGTAACAAATATTTCTCTATTTTGTGGTAAATGTCTCACCAACCATACCGTTGAATTATGTGCCTAAAACAATGTTACTTGCATCAACTTGAATCAAGTATCTCATTCTATTTTTTACTTTTAGTCTTACTTTTTCAGTTAGGTAAGCAAACCCTTTTTTGGGATGCTGTGTCTTTAAGTCAAACAAATAAAGCTTTGATTCCAAAGTAGTGGCTACTAGCTTGTTCATTGGAATATCCTTTCTATCAAATTCAACACTGCAAACTCCATTTTTAAGATTACTTTCCCATAAAAGAGACATTGCCTTTAAATCAAACATTTTTACATCTCCATTGTCATATCCAGCAACTACAACTCTTTCCTCAGAGTTGTAAGAGTTCCCAAATGTAACTGTCCAACAATCTCTACGAGCTTCACCCTCTTTAGGTTGCATTACAGCCACTGGACGACCTTTTTGCCTGGGATCCCAGACTTTAACACTTCCATCTCTGGAACCAGTTACTAATTCAGATGCACCACATCCAATACTTTGTCCAGCCACACCATCAATACTATTTATTATCTCAGTGTGAGCATTAGCTGTGTAGACTGGTATTGAAGGATCTTCTAGGTTGTAGATGTTCAATTTACCCTAATAAAGGTGACTTTAAGTTTTCTGCATGCAGGAATAATAAATTGTTAAAATTCGATTCTTATTTATATAACTCAATTCATTCCAATGGAGATGTACTAGCAGTTTCCGTGACTTTTATTAATACCTGGAAATCACCGGTGGCTAAATATCTGTCTTTTAAACTTGAAGCTTTAAAAGTTCCACATTTTATTTGCTGCGATCTTTCGATGTCTTTAACAAGTTTCAGTTCACCGCTAGAGACTTCGTAGATTTGTATAATGCCACTTCCGCGCGGTCGTGAACCCATAACCACAAACTTCGCGCTGCACGGAATCCATTTTGCGTCGAATAACGAATAGTTTACTGATTTCTCGATATGACAAATTATTTGTGGTTTTTCAAGCTTATCCATGCTTTTAAAAGTAACTCTACGTCAAGGCGACACAGTATCCAAGTAAAATTAGGTCGATCGTGACAGAACTCAGTTCAAAGTATCCGTAAACAAACTGACATACCATCTACAGTGAAATATTCAAAAGTGCTGTCCCGCGAAATTCAGATAACTCATCGTTTATTGGTATTACCAACCTAACACCTAATGCATTCTTTTGTCCAGGTCAGGAGGACTGAAAGTGCCCTTACTAATTTCGTCTCACTTTCAACGTTACCAATTCAGCATGGGATAAGATTACAACATTACTAGTGGTTAGAACTAAACGTAACTATGAAATTACAAATAAGTATACATAGATATAATACATATTGGGATGAGCAGAATGTTCGTTCCATTTTTCGCTAAAAGATGGAGGTGACTGCAATTAATTGCACTTAATTTCGATCTTTTTGACAGTTTACATTTCACCGGTAATGTAAATACAGTCCTGCGAAGATTAATTGTGTTTTGTGTATTCCACGTCAATTTAAAAATGGACAATAATAAAATATATTTGCGGCATATCATCTTGTATTACTTTAAAAAGGACAGTTTATTTAATTTTGTAATGGAATGTTATTTATAGAATAAATGTTTCGCGAAAGGAAGTGGATGTGGTGTGTAAGGGAGAAATGAAGACTATAAAATGCTGTGAAACAATGCTGGTATATTGTAACCTTTTGTAAAATACATCTTGTACAGTTATCTTACAATAAATAATTGATTTTTGTGATAAATAATTGCATTTCTCTTCATTTTTCCTGATATTGAAGTCCTTTCCTTTATTCCTGTGGTGGCCTGAAACTTCACTCTGTAATTTAAACAAAAATTTAAATTGTTATTTAACAAGACACTCTAATTATTCTTCCACCAAAGTACTCGCAAATAAAATAGACACTTTAATAAATTGATACATTAATAAATTAACAAATGAAGCTGCTTTTTCCGCTTCCAATTTCGGACTCGAAGACTCTTGGCACGTCTAAGAAGTGATTGACTTACACTACTGGCTAATTCTGAAGAATTTTGAACGCCCGAGAAGTGGCTGACATGCACTACTGGCTAATTCCGAAAAATTTTCGAACGTCTGAGATATGGTTGACTTTACTACTATACAAATTTCGATGTCTGACTTATGGTTGATTTGCAGGAAATTTTGCACATTGTGGCAAACGTGTTATCGGGTTTGCAACTTTGTTGTCGCGAATCGTTCTCGAAAAGTGCACATTGTTGCACGACGCGCCGCTTTGCAACATTGTGCACTTTTCGAGAATGATTCGCGACAACAAAGTTGCAAACGCGATCCCTCCCTTTGCAACTTTGTGTCGCGCGCGCGAGTTACGAAATGTCGGAAATGACGAAATTTCTAAGAATCGAGGCAATTCCAAGAAGCGACCTCCTGTCACATCATATTCGCCTAATACAAAGTCACGATTTTCGATTTTCGAAAATTTTTGGCCGAAAATCGACTTTCTAATGGGCGAACATGATGTGATAGGAGGTCACTTCCTGGAAGTGACTCGATTCTTGGAAATTTGGTCATTTCCGAGAAATGACGAAAATTCCAGGAATTCTCGAGAACTGAAATTTTCGAAGACCCTTTGGCTGAAAATCGACTTTCTAATAGGCGAACATGATATGACAGGAGGTCACTTCCTGGAAGTGACTCGATTCT